AGAGCAGTTCAAGAGGAATGCCAGCTTGTGTGACCAAATTAGAATCAATTAAATTCTCGTCTGCTCCCGAATCCACTAGGGCTAAGAGGGAAAGAGTTAGAGATTTAATCACAATAGTGGCATCGAGTAGAATACGAGTCCGGGAAAACAAAGACTGAGGGTCGACTCACCAGAACTCCGACTGCTACTGATGAGTCTTTTCTCTTTTCCCGCAGTGGACAAGAAACCAGGAAATGCCCTGTCTGTCTGCAGTATATGCACACTCCTGCTCGGACTCTTCGCAGCCGTTCTGCTGGGGAGAGACGACTGCGGACGGCTGAACTGACTCAATTCTAGACATAGTAACGGTCTGACCTCTCAAAGTCTCCACGACTTCGCGGAGCACACGGTCATGTTGGCCCACAAGGGTTCCTTGGAATGCAAGGGCTTGGCGGAGATCCGGGGAGGCTTGAAGAAACTCATCCGAGACTGCTGGGTCAAAATCCTGGTCAGATCGTTCTGTCATGATTTAAACCGGTAATGACCCAAATGCAGGCTCAGACGGCATTAAGTGAAAAACAAGGATTTATTTTCTAATTAAACTACAACAGGAATCACAAGGAACAATAGTTCAAGTCAATCTGGGCGTCAGCTACCACGGTGGCTGAACAAATGCTCTGACAACCAGAGGGGAGAAAGGCCAGGGTTTTTATGCCATCAGACTGATGGGTTGATTGAAGGCAGGTGCTGAGGAATGGCAGGTGTGCTGATTATCCAGGCAGAGTCAGGGAAATGTGCCACGCCCACCACACAGACAGAGACAAGTGCACAACACAAGAATGGGGGAAAACACAGGGAAACACTGGGAACGACAGTCACGACTGTCATCGTGACAATGTCATTGACTTGAATTTTAAACTATAACAAATACATATTTTAAAGATAAACTATGTTTATTTGGAGCTGTGTAAATGAGCTACCTGTGCACGAAGATTCAGTCTGATCAAATGTATTTACAAATTAGTGTTTAAAACCAGATTTCTCGGCCAATATTTCCATATGTCATGACAAAGGCACATAAAGCAACAACTTTACATGGAGGTCAGTTTGCCCTTGTTCCCAAGAGTAAGTCAGACCTTTATGATTTTTTTATGTCCTAGATTATGATGTTATCACTGGGTTAGTGTAGATGAGTACGTGAGGTGAGGTACATATGTACAGTATGCTAGTTCCGACATACGGAAAAAATAAAAAAAAAAAAGTTACATCCTCTTGTACTACTTAAAACTTCTGATTTCAATTAAAAGTAAATGTGTGCAGGTGTAAGTGAATGATTTTGACAAATGGCAGCAGACTGTAGATCTGTCCAGGATGAATCCTATCTCAGAGCAAGGGTTTAGTCCCAGCTCATCTCGTGACTGTTAAAGGATTCGACATGAATGTTTGGGTGGATGAAAAGAGAAGGTTGAAAGGAAGGATGGCAGCTGTTTGCATTCAGCGCAGCTCAAATATGTCCCATACTTACGATGGACAGAAGACCTGCTTCCCTTTCTTTTTCCCCTTCCCCTTTCCCTTCTCCTTGGCCGAACCCCCGTCCAGACAGAGGGAGAGAACCAGGAAGAAGAAAACAAGATTCTTTACTCCCATTCTGCTGCTAAGTGGAGTCTGCAAATGAGAAAACACACTGTCAAAATACAAAGCAGAACAAAACCAAACACAGTGCATACTGGTTTGTGTTTCCAAAAGAATTTTTGTAGTATTTTTAGTATACAAGTGACAAAACACAAACTGTAAAATTATTGGGTTTTAACTTCATCCCTTTTCTTGTATTCTTGTACTTTCCACTTCCCTGTTTCCAGTCACATGCAGTAAACGTCCAGAAATGGGAATTAATAAACCTGACAAGGTTTAATCAAGCAGAGCAAATTCAGGTATAAATCCAATGAGAGCAGTAGTGCACCTGAATACTGATGCACATTTAAGACCCAGGTTGCTGTGACCTCAAAGGAAAGCTGGGGTAAAATATTATCTCCCTGTCCATTATACGTCTGCACCGGGAAAGTTTTATAGGGATTTTCGTTTCAAGATTTTAGAAAAAAAAAACTGGTAAATATAAAAATATTTGAAATGAGATGATTAAGTAACCATACAACAATATTAATGTGCACAGAAATAGACATTCCCTCAGAAACACTGAGGTTTTGCATTTCCTGATAGGCCCTATTAATCACACAGCCACCCCCGTACTTTTGTGAATCAGGCTCCATCTCAGAGAGGGATGCCCTTTTAATGCATGGAGACCACGAGAACAACAGCAGGGCTAAGAGCCTCCCCCCACCCCTCCATCTCCACCACCCCACCGATAAAACAGTACATTAACTAAACCAGTTCTAAACAACAGTCTTGACAACAACTCTCTCACTCTACCTCTCTCATTTCTTTTTGCCTTGTCCCATTGAAACCCCTGCCAACAACAGTCCAGCACAAGGATTGTCACAAGTGCTTCTAGTGCTCAGTTCAAATGTAAATCTGTCACTTTGGCTCAAATAAAGTCCATATAATTTTATTGGTATCAAACGTTTTTTAGTCAGTGGCTTTCAAAATGGGGGTCGTGGCCTCCTGGGGGACAAAGCAGCACAAAGTGGACCTTAGAAAATCAGAGGGAACATAAAAAAAAATCGTCTGATTCTCAAGTAAGGGACTGCTGAGCCTTTTATCAAGCTGCTCTGCTTCTTAAGCTAGGGTGTAGCTAGCTAGTGCAAAATGGACATTTTTTTAAAAAGAAATCGACAGGAGGAGCAGTTTAATATTACATTTATTAATCAGTGGAAATACACAGTACTAAAACCATGTCTGTAAATCAGTGTAATAATAATTGAATAGTGAATAAAAGTATGAAAATACATTCTAAAATCCATCCATGTTAAAGAAGAAATCACTTAAAATATTTAGCATGCAATTTTTTCCTGTTCTTTTTGTAAGACCTGTGGATAAATACCAACATGCAGCAGCAGTGACATTAAAATAATGTTTGTTTGTTTCCAATACAGTCTGCATTAGCTCCCACACTCTAGAGGCTAGAGGTTTCTGTTGCATACTTGTAATAGGGCTAAAATTGAAAATATAGGAAATGGGCTCTGCAGTCCAGGCCTGTCAACATGTGATACATGCACCGAGAGATTGTAACTAAGAGGCTAAAACCAGAAAGACAAAAGGTGAAATACAAGAAAACCATCTACACCTGTCCAAAAATAAACAAAAGTGTGTTATTTATACAGTATGTTATTACCAACTAGATGGTAGTTCAAAAGATATCCAATGATCACCATTAGGGTAAGGTCAACAAATAGGTCAAGTTGGCAGGTAAATAAACTAACAGGGTTTTCAGTGAGAAGTTAATCACTGTTGTTTAAAGTTAGTTAAATATTACAAAACGGGTGACGATTTTACAGGAAATTAGTTACATTTCACGTACAAAATAATTTAAATTTGTAATTAAGAGTAGGAGGAATTCCAAAAATAATAACTGCAGGTCTCTGCTTCGTACCAAAGTACCACAGTACCTGTACATGACAAATAGTATTACTTTGCACTACCCAAACTAATGTCCAAATGATTTGCTGGGAGGCTTAGTGAATGTATGTGTGTGTGTTGTGCACATACGAGGACACTGTGCACGGACGAGTCCTAATTCAACTGAACCCATGCCTGTCCACCAACCGACCTTGGCACTGTCTGAGTCAACTGTGTTTCACTGGCTGGGGAACATTGTGCTTTACTGCTGAGCATCGTATAAAAACTGCCTATAAAAAGTGTTAGTGCACTCATAGAGACCTATAGAGGGTGTCCAAGGTCCAAGGTCAAAGGGCAGCTCCAATTTTCTTACATTATTTCAGTGTGTGCTATTTAAAAATAAATATATCTAAAATATTTATGGCATGTATAAAAATATGTCAAAGAGATTCTAAAAATAGAAGAGGAACAGAACAACAGAACATTCTGGTAAATAAAGCTTCTGGGAGGAAGATTACTGTTCTATCGCCATGTTCTAGATTGTTGTAACAAATTGAATAATGATGAATGTAATGGCCGGCTTCTAAACTGTAAAACCAAAACACAAAAACGCATTTTAATCCAAACCCATCAGCATCCTCACACGCACACAGAATCACAACCTGTGGCTGCTCGTCGCATCTCCTCTTTTTAACGCACGAAGGAAAGTAAGAGTAAGGGATGGTGAACATCAGAGGAGCATCAGTGGAATAAGAAGACACAGACAAACAGCGACCACCATGACGGAGAGAGAGGAGGGGGCTGCAGGAGAAGGAGGAGGAGGAAGGGGATGCCAGCACATATGAAGGCGACCGTGCGTTTATTTCCACCCTCATCCAAACAGCGCACCAAAACACCCGAACCAAAACACGGTGTTTTTATTTTAAAGAAACCACGTCACATGGTCGCTACTCACCGTTCGTCCGTGTCACTTGTCAATTCCAGTCCAAACTAGAGCTGACTGTGCAAATAGTGTTTAAGGCAGCCGTCCAGACCAGTCGCTATCATTTCTGTCCATTTTGGATCTCTGTGCACGCTCTCCTCCAATTGTTGAATGTGTTTTTGCCAAAAAAAAAATAAAAAAAAAATTTCAAAAAGTTACATCTCGGCAAATTGCCAAATTCCGCCTGTTGTTGTTATTTTGGTGTTGTTGTAGTCAGTGGATATATGGCTGCTACTGCTGCTGCTGCCCTTTTCGCCTCAGCTCGGGATGCCCAAGATGGAGGCTTTGCGTGTACCTGTCATGCAACATGCGCAGTAGCGGCTGCTCAGAGCCGGAGAGCATCAGTCCTCGCATCAGCACCACGGACAGCAGCTCGCTCGCTCGCCGTGACGTGAATGAAGCGCTCCCCCATCTGTTCACGTGACAGGAGCAAAACGCCTCAGTATTTATAATGGAAGTGAAGTGTCTGATTTTTAACTGCAGATTGACGTGGACACTCAGAGCTGCTTAGGCTGTAAAGCAGAGACAAATCATGGATGTTTTATAGTTCAGAGAGCAGCCACTGTGGGCATAAATGCTACACCAGTTGATATGTGTATATATCATTATTAAATACTACTGATTTATGATTTAGGGGGAGATATTAATAAGTAAATGTTCTGTCTAGGCTCCTTCACTCTGTTATGATCTTGTCACAGTGTATGTCCTTAAATCAGACACAAACTGACACACATTCATTATAGAGTAAAAGTAAATATCCAAATGCATATTATTTCAAATGTATGTCATTTTCATGCACATCAGTATCAGGCCTTATATTCTTATGTTAATGAGCAGGAAATAAAACTGTATTTACAGTATTTTTCTTCTTCTCTCTGTGGTTTGGGTCAAGCTCACTCACTCACTTCACATCAGCCCATTAACCACAGAGCTGTGCCATCTGTGTGACACTGCCCTCCAATTCATTACATGTTCACTGACCAGCGACTAAAAAAGCATCAGTGTTGTTCTATATCAGCAAGTACATAATTAAGAATAACTTATTTTGGTCCTGAGATTAATTACATTTGAAAAGCTTATTTGTTGCCCAGCACTTTTGTACCCGACAGAGTGAGGTACACCGTGGACAGCCACAACAGTTTTGAGGTTACGTCATGTTAAGTATTTTGCTAGTAGTTTTTTCAAATATTTTCTCTTCTCTTTCTAAATCTTTTCTGCCTTAGTCGTGTGATTTTGTGCAGGTTTTTGCAAATTAGAAAAAGCTATTTTTTTTATTTCAAAGGCATAAAATATCATTAACTTCCATGAAGATGTTTACATCAGTTTGCCCAGCATTTACAATTTTGGAATCCAGCCACGGGACAGATGGGACAATTCAGTGGGCCAGATCCAGGCTGCCAGTTGAGGATCACTGTTTTTACACAACTCTGGAACTACAGTATTAAGAACTAAGTTTCAATCTTCATTTAATCTTTTTCTATCGTTACAGCTTTGCACTGTGAATATTGGTTTAATGTACAGCCCTAGTTCAATAAAACATGTGTTTTCTAGATGTCTGGAACTGGAAAATATCATTTTTCTTAGATGTAGTATTTGACACGGGTAGACTTATATTGGCTGAGTATCCATTTTTCTCGCTTAAAGCCGAGTCGCTCACTCAAACACGAGCTGCTTCCAATTGAATGCACTGGTCACTTGAGGTCTGTTTTTCTCTTTTTATATCATGCAGAAAAAGTACGGTCCATTTATCCAGCCACACATCCTGTCGTTACATAACAGCCACGCAGTTTCTCCTCTCCTTCTGTTTTCTGTTAATACCTTCCTGACGCTCCCTCAGATCTTCTGCCATGTGTCACATCCAACCAATCTCATTTGGACTCAGAGCTCACATATTTGCCTGGCTGCTTATTACAGTCATGGATCTTGAACCTGATGGGAGAAAAAGGGGGGTTTTTCATTCAAAATGAAAACATTCTGGACCTCATCTGTCAGTTATCCTTCTCAGTGTAGCTGATCCCTTTTACTTTTATATTAACAATATATTTTTTTAATTTTTATCTTTTGTAGTTTGATCAATTGCGGCTATGTTTTAGCTACTGTTTCTAACTTTGAGCTTTATTTTATGACATTGTATCTTGTTTTCTGATAATTAGTCTTTTTATATGTTTTGCATGTGTTACTGCTCTCACTTCTGATATAGCATTCTGACTTTGTGATTGTATTAGCAATGCAAAATAAAATGTAATACCTGAGTATAATAACAGAGTAATTGTATTAAATCAAGATTTTTGAAAAAAATAAAATAAATAAATAAAATGCATACGAATCAATAAACGTTTTAGGACAGAAAAAGTAAAACATTTAGCCTGTTGCATGTTGAAAGGTTTATAAACTCCAGTCACAACTGTTTTTTTTTTTTACTCGTCTCAATTATTATGGAAAACTCTTGCATGTACTCACTGCCGTTATTTACCATTACTTCCTCTGAACCATGACATGTACATAAACGCCGCTGTCTTCAAATCCTGTCCAAACGTCCGTACAGCGTGTCATTCTCTGCTTAAATGAAACCAAACAAGATTTCTTTTTCCCTTTTATTTAAATTAAAAGCCGCTGCATAAAGTAAGTAAGCAGATTTTTTTCCCCCACTATTTCAAATCCTATCTCATTCATCACTTCATGTCAAACAACTTGGGAGGCCTCTACATACTGATCCACATAGCATCATTTTGACTGACACGCCATGCCATTTCCATACACACATTAATCGGCACCACATGCACAGAGATTAATGATTTATGTCACGGGGGGGTGGAGGTGTGTGTGAGTGTGTGTGTGTGTGTGTGCATGGGAGCCAGTGTTACAATCAAGAGGCAAGCAATCAAGCACAAGGATCCTTTTGTGTTGTGTGGAGAAATGTTTCAGTGGCTGGCGGTGAGCCAGGTGTGAAGGACATGTATGTGCCATTCCAGAAATATGTCAGGCTGCATTGAATCAATCTGCGGTGGTATTACACCTGGCACACAAAACGAATTCCTGCTACTGCTTCAGCCGGGAAGAATTATGTGTGTTGTCATATTCTCGTTCAAATGAAAATGAAGCTCTCGACAGAGAGAGAGGGAGTTGCACAATTGTTGCCACAAAAATAGCTTGTTTATTTCTGCTTCGTGTGCAGGAGTACAGAACCCTTCTTTTGCAGCTCAATAGATATAAAATAAGTCTAGTTGAAATGTTAATTGCAGAAGAGATTTGCGCATAAATTCAGATTTTCTGATATTTGCCAAATGATAGTTATAGAAGGACTAGTTTGATGTGTTAAGTTAGAAAGTCGATTTTGATTTTTTTTTCAACAAACAAACTTAGCACATAATAATAATTTAATTTAGCACTCGAGTTTCATTTTTATTACTCACCAGCTTCTCCAAACAATTATTGCATAAAAACAGATTCATTCTAACACTTTATACCAGGAAGTGATCCAGTGTATAAATTTAGCATAGAGCAAAACTGTTGGCAAGCGAAAAAGTTAACTGATGAATGTAATTAAAATATGTAAAAGAAAAACCTCAAATCTCAAATTAAATAGAGCACATTTTTTTAGCAGTTAACGATTTAGTTAACTAGATATATTGAGGTAGCTAAAAGTAGCGATACAAAGTAGCAGCTAATATCTAATCAGCTAACGATAGCCTGCATTTTTGTTTAAATACAGTAGAAGGAAACATGTCCTAGATATACGTTTATATGTATTTAAACAGTATATATGCATATATATGTGTATATCTGTGTTTTTAAGAAACAAAGTCAGTCATATGACACTAGCAGTCAAGAAGCACACCTGTTAGACTGGACATCAACACATTCGTCATAATCATTTTGCCAGTTTTTGTTAACTGTCCTATTTTTGCCTGTGTTTTATGTCCTGCTGTATATCTGAGCCATCAGCACCTAATCCCTCTGTGTTGTATATGCTTTAAATTTGCTGTGGAGTCTTCTTACAGCATCATCTGCCAACTATGCACACACACACACACATTATAAATTCAGAGTAATTACACGCACAGGGTAGCAGACTTGCAGATGTTCACTGTCACATAATCCAACAGTGTCAGGTTCCACTACTGTAACGTACTGAGAAAGTCCGGCTATGCAGCAGAATTCCGCCACTGGATTATTAGTTTGATTTTTATGATGGAAACTGAGGCTCCATCATTAGCAGATGTTCAGAATGTGCTGCACCGACCGGGATTATGATGGCGGCACCGAGCCAGGAGGCTCTTCCGCATGACACAGACTCCATGGTGGGTTTTGGACCTGAGTCAAGAAGGGAAATCCTCGAGAAGGAAAGATTTTCTTCCCAGTTAGTAAATAATACATTAACTGACAAATACAGTATCAGTGTTAGTTCCTGGATTTATTTGGCGTTTTGGATCTTAAACCCGTCTGGTTTAACACAGGCACATTTTAAACCATTTTTCAACTAAGATTTTGTAAGCAAAGTGGCCTTTATTCAAGGAATCCAGAGAACTGCAGATTCTATAGACCAAACTTGTATGCTACAAATAATAACTCATGGGCTAATAGTTACTTCTCTTTTTGCTTTCTGATGATTTTTTAAAAAGTATGTTTACCTTAAAATTGTACTTTATTATAATGTATTTCCACCCTTTCAAGATTCGACATAAACTGACTCCACAGCATTAGAATTCCTTCTCTTATTTCCCTTTATGGAATTGTTTCTTGGGTAGAGCAGGAGGTGGTGGGGGTTCTAGGCCTCATCCTTTCCTCTTCAAGAATTTTCTACATCTGTATAAGAGAAAATGTTCTTGTGAAGTTCCTGTGGTTTCAGGAAAATCTGATTATCAAACAAACAAGATTTCAGAACTTGGTTTGCCTCCAGCTACAGTGCCATCCACCAAGTCATAATGTGGGACAGATATTTTCAACTGTCTGAATTAAACTGTGTAACATTTTGAGCCTCCGTTCCTTTGTGTGAGTTCCACTCAACCGTAGCTCCTACTTTCTCTGCGGCTCTGCTTTTCCACATTTCCACCTGGCCACTGAGATGGAGAAACACATTTCCCCAAAGTGTTTTGCCTTCACATGTATTTTGGTAAAATAATAACAACTAGGGAACAACAAAATAATCCTGAAATGGCAAACAATTTTACCCTAGATGGAAAAAAAATAATTAGAAAAATAATTAAAATGAGACTACAGTTATTCCACCTGAGCCCATTATCTGGGGACGACGCAGTACAGTCTGTCAGCATTGTAGGGGAAATTCAGTTAAACTAAGTTCATCTACTGCTGCAGACCCAGCAAACCCTTAAACAATATCTGTTTAAGGGTAAAACAATGAGAACCGTACTGAACCGT